CCTCTGTGAGATAAAGATCAGACTGGTCTCAAAAGCAAGTTTCAGGCCAGCTGGGGCTACAGGGAGACCCTGTCTCAATAAATAAATAAATTTATTATCAGTAAATGTTTGTACCTATGCAAATCTATATACCTATTTTATAAAGCTGTATACCCAGGGCTGTGTGAAAATTTCTTGGGCAAAAAGGGGTTGCAAGTGGAAAAATTTTAAGAAGCCCTGGTCTATAGAATTAGTCTGAAAAATGATGTCTGTAGCTTAGTGACATGGTACAGCATCTGCAATGTATTGGAGCACTGTTTATACCTAACCTTGACACCAAAAATCCCTAAGCTTGGCATACCAAAGTGACCAGCCCACAAAGCAAAGCAGTATTAGATTTCAGACCACCGAGAGGCTAGGCTGGCGCAGACTCTGTAAGAGCTAAGTAAGAGGGACTGAGCAGGAGGCTCTGGGTAACATCAGACGGACAGTAGAAGTACATGTCTGGTTCTGCCTACATCTTTCCTATAGCTACCTCTCTCCTCCACACAGGGCTAAAGGAGATGTGGACAGAAATGTGAAGGTCACCCCCGACAAAATGAAGGCCTCAGCAGAGGGAGGTCAGGTGACACTTTGATAGCTACCAGCTCTCCTTGGCTATTTTTTTCTTCTTACAACTTGACATTCACAATAAAGGATGAGCAAAACAATAACAATTTTTAAAATCTGAAAAGGAAGCCACAATATGAATCCCAAATATTTCAATAACTAAGCATAAGTACGTTCTACAAACGGGGACGTTTAGATCAGTTTATTTTCTGAGTTCAATATCAACATAAAAGACACACCTGGGGGTAACAGGGACTATAGGGAGAAAAGAAACTTCCCAGCCCAGTTTTAACAGGAACAAAGCAAAACCGCAGGCTGAGGCCTCTCAGCAGCTGAGATGCTAACAGTTTTGTTCTTTCAGCTGGGTACCAGTGTGATCAAGAGATGAGGAAATGGACCGTAAAGAAAGGTCTGTGCAAGTCAGGGGTTTATTTGTCCTGTGGACCAAGGAAAATCAGTCTTCATGATGAAGGTGAGGGACAGAATGAAAAACAAAAGAGCAGCCCACCCACAAAGAATGAATGACTCTGTCCAGCCAGTGAGCAAGGTTACAGAGACACAGGCCCTGAGCTGGGGCCCTCCCAGATGCTTCCTGGTAAATTAAGCAGCTGTAAAGAAGAAAAAAAAAACTAGCTTTATTCCTGCCCAGTATGCTTCCTCCTTCCTCAGTTTCAGAGACTGGGCAGAAGGATGGGTTTCAGTTTTCCCAGCCTGCCTATCACACAGAGCTGCCAGTCTGTGAGAGGGAGATGCAGGCTGGACCCCAGAACGGACTGCCTAAGCCCAGCTCCTCAGTAACACCGCCTACCACACTGAAAAACAGCTTCCTGGTCCCAAGGTTTCTGTCTCTGAATCACTGCCCCAGGCTGGGGTTCTCCACAGTGGCACTTGTCCCACCAGGAATATCTTTAAAAAAGGTGAACCAGTCAAGTCCCCCCTCTAAAGGCCTCTTGTATTTATAAACAAGCCACCCCCTTCCATAACCTGTAAAGCACACATAACCTGGTCCCTGCCTACCTATTCAATTTCTTCTCCTTCTGAGACCCTGATACAGTAACACCCCCACTCCTCTTTCTCTTCCCCTATTTGGTAGGAATCAAGGTTCTTCTGAGCAGGGCAAAGGCACTGTATGTTGGACCTCAGCTGTGCCTGGTCCTGTAGTGCTCTGAACCCAGGCTTTTCCATAGCTAGCTCCTTGATACTTGGGACAAACTCAAATATCATCTTCTGGTCACTCCTGAAAAGTCACCATAAAGTAAAGCAGCACAGACAGAATACCATCCTGTGACCTACCAGGCATCCTCATACATCCCAAGAGAGTAAATCACAGGTGGATTTCCTTTTTCTGTGGAGAACTGTCTTTGTCCACTTTCTGCTTCTGTAACAGTCGAGACTGAGTACTTATTCTGTACGGTCTGACATGGTGCCGGGTCTGGCACAGCCCTCCTTGCTGCATCTTAACTCGATGGATGGTATCACGTGAGGACAGAGCACACAAACTCAGCTCCGTTGTTATCTTCTTGTAATCCACAAATGTCATCAATGGAGCCCACCCTTCCCAAAGGCCCCACTCCAACTGTCACCAGAATGATTAGCAGCCAACATATACTCTTTGGGGGACATTTCTGCCGACAAACCGGAAAATAAAACCGTACTCTCCCTGTCCCTTGCTGAAACCTCAAACCTAGAAGGGTGCCTGGTGCATGAGATACGATTGTTGAACAACAGTCTATGTGTCCCAAGCCTTGTGTCTGCCACGCACTGCCTCGGCTTTTACTGGCCGTCACTTCCTTTCTCTTGTCTGGTCTCTTTTCTGAGTTTCTTTTGGTCTTCACTCTGCTTACGGCACAATGGAGAAATGCTAATAGAAACCTCAGCCTATGCTGCTCTCGCTGGGCAGAAAGTCAACCAAGTGCTTCTCCAGGGCAAGCCCTTTAGGCTCAGTACCATTCACTGGCGCAGCTCTGCAATCAGCATCAAAAGGAATTATGGTCTGTGACCTGAAAGCACTACATGTGCCCTGCAGACACGCAAAGGAGCATCAACATTTCAGTGCACCAAAGATTCCGATACAATTTGGAAACCACACTTACGACAAACACCTCTAGTGTTTCTTGTACAGGTAGTCTGGAAAGTCTGAACACCTAGGCCAAAGGATGAGTGGTGGGATTACCAGGTAGACGGTCAACAAAAATCACCTGTTAAAGTTCTGCTTTGAAATTGGTAATCAAGACACATTTCCCTTTCAGTATTTACTAAATATTTAAACCCACTGGTCTTTCTAGCCATTTAAAACAATAATGCCCACTGTCCTGTGGTAGCTACTAGGTTCCCAGAGCAGTCATCCATGACTGGCACATGTACTGAATGTTGCCAACTTACACGTGAAACACTGAGCCTCATTTATGAATGTGGAGACCCCTAGAACAAAATGGCAGGTGTGGAAATCAAACAGGTCTCCTTGCCACTCAAGTCTATGTTCTGTGAAGTCTTTATCTCCTTCCCAGGAGCAAAACCGGTAAGTAAAAATCTGTATTTCTAAACTAAAGGAGAGGCCTTTCTCTTAGACATTCCTCACTTTAGAAGAAACTGCATGCGATTTCCTTGACATTGCATGGGATTTCCTTGTGTATGAATTCTGACAGTACATTTAACAACGACATGCCAACCTTTAAGTCAAAGTTACTCTTACTCAGAATCACCTACTACTAAGAGCTGCCTCACTATTTAAAGATCTCACAGCAGTCCCCAAACTGTGCTGAATCCAGAATCACTTGAGGAACACCCCCCGCATCAAAAATTCTAGCCTTCACTCCAGTTCTGCCCTGAGTATGACCTCCAGAACCATCTTTTACGGTACCAGGGGCTCATGGTGAATAACTATGGTTCAGAACTCTAAAATCAGATTTCTACTAATGAATAAACTGAGGGCCTGAAGGGGGAGAATGTGCTGAAGGGCACAGCTTGTCAGCGGCACCATTGCTGAAAAGACCTGAGTCCCACCTGCGCCTTCCACACCCTTTCAAACTGTGTTTTTGGTCACAATGCACTCACTCCCGGTGCTCTGTAAGGACTCACTGCCCAATACCCTCCTGCAACTTCATCCTTTATCTACAGAAGGGAGATAACAAAAGTCTCTACCTACCTAAGAGATTCTGTGGGGGTTAAATAATGTAGCATTCATTACATAATGTACTTAACACGGTGCTCGGAATATTGTGAGTACTCATTAGCTAGGTTACATAACCCACTAAAAAGGCAAGTCTATTTTAGCTCATTTACTGGGCCACCCCAGTGACAAAATGTACAAGAAACCCCATGCTTCGGTTTGCAAGTCCAAGAAACCTGTAAGCCCAGGGTTAAGTTTGAAGTCGTGTATCTAACGTCTTCTTTTCCCAACCATCATCTACGCTCCCAGCTCAGGAAGCAGTGGCTGTGAGGCGACCTAAAGTCACAAAGGGGCTCGGCTGATGGCTGCACAGCACCGCCTCTCCAGGATGTCCAGATCCCGCCGGAGAATCCTCGGTCCCAGCCCGTCCAGGGTGGATCCTGAGCACAGCAGGCGGCCTGCCCGGGGTCTCCCAGCCAGCAAAAACCAGCCGTGCAACCCGAGCAGCGGCGTCACCAAGCCCTGCTGCAAACCACAGCTGGATCCGGCTGTGCAGAGCGCGCGCGCTGGTCCCCATGGACCAACTCAACAACCCCCCAACACAACAACTGAAGCGCCGCCGGCGGTCGGCACGGCCTACGAGGAGCTGAGGTTGACCCCCGAGCCTCCTTCCCAGGGGTCAGAGGTGACTCCGGATGGTCCAACTGGCCCGAGCGGCGCCAGAAGGTTAACGACCCTCTTGCCCCACTCCTTATAGTCGCGAAGTCTCCACCAGTCTGCTGTCCCAGCTGCCGGAACTGCGTCGCCTAGGCTGCGGGGGATGTCGGGAGTTGTAGTTAAACGGCTCTAGCGCCTGCTCGACCGCTAAGTTTCATCAAAAAGAAAGTAACTTCGGGATTTTGAGAGCAAGCTGCTTTCTACCAAACGGGGCTAGAGTTTTTATCCCTCTACTCGACAGGGCGAGTTCTCGCAGAGCGCAGGAGTCACGAACTACAAGTCCCAGGATGCTCTGCGGCGCGCCGCCGCACCCGGCGGCAGTCGTAGCTGCGGGCCGCCAAGATGGAGAACCGCGCGTGAGGCCGCGCCGGATACCGCGCTGCGTCTACCTGTTTGCCGAGCCTCAGCGCGGGTGCGGCGGTGCGCGTGCGCGCTCGGGAAGGCGACCGGCTGTTGTGCGCGTGCGCGGGGCGGCGGAGGTTCGGGGAGCCGCGCGCCGGCCTG